ACACACACACACACACACACACACACACACACACATACACACACACACACACAAACACACAACACACACACAAACACACACACACACACACACACACACACACACACACACACACACACACACACACACGATCAGTGAAGAGGCGGGGCCAGGAGCTCGGACTCGACCCCCGCAACCTCAACTAGGTGAGTACAACTAGGTGAGTACACATGCACACATGTGGTAATGCTTTATTTACAGCTAGCAAAGTCAGGGTATTTCTCCAGAATGGTCTGCAATATACCACTGTGGATAAAATACTTTGCCATTTCTTGAACATTTCTGAGTGAGTTGTTTCTAAATTCATTAATTTTATCACACTCCAGTACATAATGACGCAAGGTGTGACAATAGTCCATCTGGCAAAGTTTACATTTCGTTTGGTCTACATCTGGCGGTGGTGATTTAACCTGCCAATGATACTTGTAACCCAGCCGGAGCCGGGCAGTAGTGACATCCAAGAGTCTGCTTATTTTGTTGGATGCACCATAGACATGTGGCTCCTCCTGCATGATAGAGTGATGATAGATGGACTCACTGGTGTCAATCTCCCTGAGCCTTAAGTCCATAAAATTCAGTTGAAGTTCTTTTCGTATTATTGTTCTCAAACTACTACCTGACAAGCCAAGATTGTAATCTACTCCCTCTTTGAAAGCATACAGCTTAGCCAATTTATCAGTTTTATCATGCATCTGAAGACCAATGTGAGATGGAATCCACAGCATGTGCACTCTGACTCCACTGTCCACAATCCTACCATACCTGTGTCTGGCTTCTCACATCGCGGCAGCTGAGTGGCATAGCTACGCGGGGTTGTTGACTGTAACTATGTAGCAGGGTAGTAGCCAAGGCAGCCACAAGATTTACTCAAGCTGTGGCATGACCAGGTAGTAATGGTGAGTGGGGCATTGTGGGAATTCGGCATACTAAAACTGGGTGTGGTATGCTAAAAGCATGTTACATTTTTTGGGGCGTATGTCATACACCCATACAGGCATGCCCTTCCGACCAGTGAACCAAATGCTAAAGGTATAATGAGTAGGGGGTCCTCCTCACTATGTTAGCAGTTTGGTTCAACCCAGCCAATCACAAGGAAGCCATCCAAAGTTGTGAAGCGATGTGGTACACTGGTAAATCAATTTTGGTAAACTTAACTCCAAGTCTGTTTGAAGGCGGTTCTTAGTGTCTCTTGCTTGTAAATTGCCTTTCAGAACATATTCTCTGTAAATATTGCTTGTTGTTTGGTGAAGGGAATATATAAGTATTTACTCTCTGCTGCCTCTCGTTCATTCCTCGTTTCTACCATGGCTATCGTGCTACAACCAGGTGTTCGGGCCACTAAACTACAACGATGTTAGTTACTTGTTCTATTAATGTAGAGCATCAGCGAACTCTTACTATTGTACAGCTTCATGAGTGTATATGCAACAAATTAAGGTTTGACTAGTGTAACATGGCGTTCCAATCTGAGATTTCAACTGCTGAGAGGGCAAAACGCCGCTCCCCGCTTCGATTGTTTAGTCAGAATTGGGGAAGACAAACTCCGGAGCAACAGGTCCACTATCCACCCAGGAAAACAGGTGGCGAATTGGGATTAACTCCGAAGGAGTCAGCTTCGCTAGCACTTGAGTTGGCTAAACTCAGTCTTGAACACTCCAGGGAGCAACGTGCCTTTGCTAAGGAGGAATTTGATAGAGAGGAGAGGAGATAGTTTCGGCGTATTATGGATGATAATTTCAGTGTTCAGAAAGGTGAGTTGCTAGTACCTCAGTTTTCTGATTCTGAGAACGAGAAATCTTTCAAGTCTTTCAAAATTCAGGCTCAAACATTGCTATGGCCAATCCAACATTGGGCAATACTGGTTCGTACAGCATTATATGGTAAAGAACAGGAATTTACAGCTGGTTTGAGTGAAGATTTCGCTAATTTTGATGTTGTGACAGCTGCTGTACTCAGTGCATATCAGTTCATTCCCGCCAAATACAGGCGGGAATTTAAAATGAGCAAGCGTCAGTTGGGTCATTCCCATTGTGCACTTTGTTTATGCACGAACTAAAACGTTTAATAAATGGTACAAGTCTACTTGTTTTTTAAATTTGAGTCAGTTGGACCAGAGGTTCGCGTGTTTTTAGAAGACAATTCAGTGGCAACTGATATGGAGACGGCTAGACTGGCTGACACATGTGAGGCTAACTACTCCTTGTCCGTGTGGTCTCTTAACATTTCTTCCCATTATTATTATTATAATCAAAAAGAAGCGCTAAGCCACAAGGGCTATACAGCCTACATTTCTTCCCAGAAGCCTGGTATGGACAGAGATCATCGTGGACGGACCCCTCGATTTCTTCCGAAGATGGAAGCTGTAATTGATAAACAATGTCTGTCTCGAAATCAGCACGGAGCAAGAGACAAGATTCCCGAACCCATCACCTGTTACTACTGCTGTAAGCCTGGTCACATAAAAGCTACTTGTCCCAATCTAAGTAAACCTGATGCCAGTGATAAGTTGACTAAACCACTACCACTAGGAAAAATAACTATACATCTTACTGAAACGAATAAGTGGGAAAGAATGTCCTTTTATAGTAAAAAGTCAAATCTCCCTTAAGGAGCGGGAATGTCTCACTGAAGTATCCACCTTCAGCGATACCAGGGATTATTGCTCCCTCTTGCGAGAGGGAGTACTTCTAATTTCTGAGAAGACTTCATTAAACTCTTCAGTGTTATTAAAAACCTATCGGGAGCTGTATTTGCTGTTCTGCATAAAATATTCATTAAAAGCCAGTATTACACTGGGTATTTAACTGTATGTGAGTATAGGGGATTCCCCATCAAAGATGCTTTGTTTTTTGGCAACACTGTTCTAACTTGTACATGCTGTCCCGAGCCCATTGTAGCCACAGAAGCTTCTCCGATGTTGAACATAACTTGGGCGAAGGAATGTCTGATGAGAATGCTGACCTAACCTTGGAGGACTGTGATCTAGGGCTCGACAATTTGTTTCACGACAACGAGGAAAACTGGCCAGGGCCTCGTAAATTAGTGAGAAGTCCCTGATCAAGACTTCCTATTCCGGGGTTGCAGGATTGCCAGACGTTTCTGTTTCCATGCCCAAGGGACTGTCCTTTCGAGAGGAATAGAAAAGGGACTCTTTTCTAGCATCCGCTCTTATAACTGCTGTGGGTGAATCCAACTCTAGTCACCTGGTTAAATATGTAGTTAAATATAACTTCCTATTTATTCTGGTTGCTGGTAAGGAGGAGAGGGAGTGTTAAAACCAGATAGATTAGTAGTACCGAAAAATTCAGAAGTCATGTCCTGAAAATAGTTCACATTTCATCCTTAGGAAAACATTTGGGTGTCACTGAAACCCTTTATAGGATACTGCAGCATTTTATTGGCCAGGTATAAGACGAGAGGTGCGGAATTACATCCGATCCAATTGTGAGTGTCAGCAAGTGGGTAAATCCGGACACTACGTTAAACTCACACCGTTTTGTTCCATACTGTTTGATGAAGAGCCGTTTATGGATATAATCATCGACCAAGACTAAGAAGGCCAAGATCTGTTTACCATTCTTGATAAAACTACCAAGTATCATGAGGCAATACCTATGCTTAGTATTAATACTAAAGCCCCTTTTAAAGCACTTATTATTTCCCACTTTGGCATTTCAAGATGTATTCAAAGAAGCTTTACTTAGGCTAGGAATGAATCAAAAATGGCCACAGCCTATTATCCTCAGTCCCAAGGTGCCTTGCAAAGGTTTCAACAAACCTTAAAACTATGCTCTGAAAGAAACTTTCCCTCATTTCTCTTGTTGCTGCCTTTGCAACATTGCACAGCTCCTGATGACGCACTGAGAAGTGTGAAAGTACTTGAACTTAAGAGTTTCCCCCTCCCCCCTTGGCTTGTCTTGCATTTTTAAGATCGCCTGTCTGGGATTGTTTTGCATTATGAACGCCACTCGCCACCTCTTCTCCCAATTATCCCATCTGGTTTCACTCCTTGACTTTTGCTGTTATCTCCTACAAACACTCTTCAAAGCCCATAAAGCTACGCTCAAGTTAGTATTCCTAAGTAAGTGCCTATGTGAAAAGGTTCTACCGAAATCGCTACTGCAGAACAGATTGGTCAGGTTCGCTACTACACCGTATGATCAACTACACAGGTTAGTGCTTACTAAAAATATTGAACTAGTACGACATGAAAAGAAGTTGCTTTTTATAGAAATGAGAAGAGCCAAGACGGTATTCTTGAATAAGATTCCCCTTGGTTGGCAGGACTACTTGATTGATTATATTTATAGTGAGCTTGGAAGAGTCAGAGAGAACACCGAACATATGTATACAAGGAAGTTAAATAATCTCATAGCAGAGTGGCTGAACCACACATGCAAATCCGGAGTTTGTAATGAACCTGTCTAGTGAAGAATTAAGTAGTGAACATCAGGCATCACTAGTGTTTGGATTAAGCTTCGCGCCAACAACTAATGATGTTAATTCTGTAAACATACCAAAACCTTTTTGCATGCTAGAAAAATATGATGAACTGACACCCGATACTTTTAATATATGTAAAGGGATGGTATATGGGACTTTACTCCGTCTAGTGGTTCCCAACTGCTCATTAAGATTCACTAAAGCGTACAAGGAGCTCAGTAACGATCAGACCTTGCATCTCTCGAGAGGGGGTAAATCCAATCTTGTTGTTATTTTAGACAGTGTTGAATACTTACCCTTTGTCGGGCAATGTCTGATATAATGGAATTTCACACTTAACTCCTTTAGAGTGGATAGAGTAACTCAATGTAAGATGAATGAGGCCATATAAATTGAATTCTGACGGTTAGTTTCCTAGCAATTCCTAATCTGCGAAAGGCAGTTAAACTCGCCCATGCCCGAAATAGGGAGTATAAACTTGAATGTTGCAAACTTGCAAGTGTTAATAAAACATCCAATAACTATTTTTAAAATTTATTATACAAACATACAATATCAAAAACATCAATGGAACTTGTATCAAAACATTTTGTAAGTATTAGAAAAATATAAAAATGAAAGAAATAGCAACAAGGACACATTGCAAAGGGATAAAACTTTCAAGTCCCATATTCCTGAGATTCATGAGGAAGAGCAATCATTGTATATTACTAATTGCTAGAATGGAAATCTATAAAGCAAAGAGTCATTTTGGAGGTCAACCTGGGACCACTTAGGTTCAACTTGAAGAGCAAGATCATCATAAATATGTTCCTCATCAGGGTACTCCTCGATCGTAATGCCTCTCTTTTTCTTGACTAATTTCTGCTTTTTGGCTGGCCTTTCTTCCTTCTCATCACCTGACACCTCTGCATCCAGTGGCAAGTATTTATCACCACTATCAAGCAATTCAGGGTCATCTACCTCTGGTTCTGAGTCACTGTCATCCAAAATGCAGACATATTTTGACCTAGTGTTGGAGGGCTCCCCATAAAACAATTTCTCATTGATCTGGAAGAACAATAAAAACGTTCTGTATACATCCAGACCACTACCGAATTCATAAATGCAGTAGAATTTTTTTTATAAATATTTATTTTACTGAAAGTGGACTATGTCCCTACTCGGGCAGAGGCAGTCCTGACTGCCCTTCTTTTGTTGCACTTTTTTCAACTGCATGCCACACTCATATTATGCTTCACACAGACTTTATGTATATATCAAAATATGCCTAAACTATTCATGTACACACTAAACACAACAATCAGTACTTACCGACATTGTAGAGGGTAAAATCCAAGAGTATATTAGTGACACTAGATGGAAAAAACCCACTCTGGGCGACGCCAAGCCACAAGTGTTTACATTTTGTTCTCTCAACCAATGGGAAGCCAGCAAACGCCATCACCACTTAGCTGAAGCGACTCAGGGAAGGCTTGTGATTGGTCAGAATTAAAGAACGGGAATCCAGATGTGCAGCACGAGTAGGATGACACGTACTCACCTATTTGTACTCACCTATTTGTGGTTGCAGGGGTCGAGTCACAGCTCCTGGCCCCGCCTCTTCGCTGATTGCTACTAGGTCCTCACTCTCCCTGCCCCATGAGCTCTATCATACCTCGCCTTAAAACTATGTATGGTTCCTGCCTCCACCACATCACTTTCTAGGCTATTCCATGGCCTGACTACTCTATGACTGAAGAAATACTTCCTAACATCCCTTTGATTCATCTGAGTCTTCAACTTCCAATTGTGACCTCTTGTGTCTGTGTCCCATCTCTGGAAACATCCGTCTTTGTCCACCTCGTCTATTCGCGCAGTATTTTATATGTCGTTATCATGTCCTCCCCTGACCCTCCTGGCCTCCAGTGTCGTCAGGCCGATTTCCCTCAACCTTTCTTCATAGGACAATCCCCGTAGCTCTGGGACTAGTCTTGTTGCAAACCTTTGCACTTTCTCTAATTTCTTGACGTGCTTGACTAGGTGTGGATTCCAAACTGGTGCTGCATACTCCAGTATGGGCCTGACGTAGATGGTGTACAGAGTCTTAAACGAATCCTTACTGAGGTATCGGAACGCTATCCGTAGGTTTGCCAGGCGCCCGTATGCTGCAGCAGTTATCTGATTGATGTGCGCCTCAGGAGATATGCTCGGTGTTTATACTCACCCCCAGATCTTTTTCCTTTAGTGAGGTTTGCAGTCTTTGGCCATCTAAACTATATTGTGTCTGCGGTCTTCTTTGCCCTTCCCCAATCTTCATGACTTTGCATTTGGCAGGGTTAAATTCTAGGAGCCAGTTGCTGGACCAGGCTTGTAGCCTGTCCAGATCTCTTTGTAGTCCTGCCTGATCCTCGTCCGATTCGATTCTTCTCATTAACTTCACATCGTCTGCAAACAAGGACACTTCTGAGTCTATCCCTTCCGTTATGTCGTTCACGTATACCAAGAACAGCACAGGTCCTAGGACTGACCCCTGTGGAACCCCGCTTGTCACAGGCGCCCACTCTGACACCTCGTCGCGTACCATGACTCGTTGTTTCCTCCCTGTCAGATATTCTCTGATCCATTGCAGTGCCTTTCCTGTTATGTGTGCCTGGTCCTCTAGCTTTTGCAGTAACCTCTTGTGAGGAACTGTGTCGAAAGCCTTCTTGCAGTCCAAAAATACGCAGTCGATCCACCCCTCTCTCTCTTGTCTTACTTCTGTCACCTTCATAAAACTCTAGTAGGTTTGTGACACAGGATTTTCCTTCCCTGAAACCGTGCTGGTTGTCAATTATACACTTGTTTTTTTTCCGGGTTTGCCCCACCACTCTCCTCCTAAATGATCTTCTCCATGACCTTGCATACTATACACGTTAGAGATACAGGTCTGTAGTTTAGTGCCTCATGTCGTCCCCCCTTTTTTAAAAATTGGGACTACATTTGCCATTTTCCATACCTCAGGGAGTTGCCCAGTTTCAAATGATGTGTTGAAGATCTTTGTTAATGGCTCACACAATATCTCTGCTCCCTCTTTAAGGACCCATGGAGAGATGTTGTCTGTCCCACCGCCTTTGAGTGTCAAGTTCGCATAGCAGCTTCTTCACCTCCTCCTTGGTTATATGTACCTCATCCAGCACTTGCTGGTGTGCCCCCCTGTTCTGATTTCTTGGAGTCCTACTGGTTTCCACTGTAAATACCTCTTTAAATCTTTGTTGAGCTCCTGACATACCTCTCGGTCGTTTCTTGTGAATTCCCCATCACCCTTCCTCAGTCTGATTACCTGGTCCTTGACTGTTGTTTTCCTCCTGATGTGGCTGTACAACAGCTTCGGGTCAGTCTTTACTTTTGATGCTATGTCATTTTCATATTGTCTCTGAGCCTCCCTTCTTATCTGTGCATATTCGTTTCTGGCTCTTCGGCTGATTTCTTTATTTTCCTGAGTTCTCTGTCTTCTGTACCTTTTCCATTCTCTATTACACCTAGTTTTTGCCTCCCTACACCTTTGGGTGAACCAAGGACTCGTTCTGTTCTTCCCATTATTTCTGTTTCCCTTGGGAACAAACTTCTCCTCTGCCTCCTTGCATTTTGTTGCTACATAGTCCATCATTTCTTGTACTGGTTTTCCTGTCAGTTCCCTCTCCCACTGAATGTCTTGAAGGAAGTTCCTCATGCCTAAGTAGTTCCCCCTTTTGTAGTTTGGTTTTTCCCAGCCTATTCCTGCTACTCTCTCCACTTGGAGCTCAACTATGTAGTCGAAGCACAGAACCACATGATCACTAGCTCCCAGGGGCCTTTCATACATGATACCCTCGATGTCCGAACTACACATGGTGAATACAAGGTCCAACCTTGCTGGTTCATCCTCTCCTCTCTCTCTGGTAGTGTCTCTAACATGTTGATGCATGAGGTTCTCCAGTACCACATCCATCATCTTGGCTCTCCATGTTTCGGGACCCCCATGGGGCTCCAGGTTTTCCCAGTCAATCTCCTTGTGATTGAAATCACCCATAACTAGTAACTTTGCTCCCCCCATGTGTGCTCTCCTGGCCACCTCGGCTAGTGTGTTGATCATTGCTCTGTTGCTCTCATCGTAAAGGTGCACATGTTTAAAGGCAGTCAAAACTGCCTCTGCCCGACAAAGGGAAGTAAAATGAGCCATTTATTGAGTGACGACAAAACTTACGAGTCATTTCGAGTCAATAGCCATTTCACTAAACGTTATTAAAGGGAAATAATGAACTAATTGAACATTTGTCAGCGAGGTCTGCAACTCTTTATGGGTTGATCAAGATTCATGAACCAGGGAACCCAGTTCTTCCTGTTATAAGTTCAGTTGGCTCGGAAGCGTACAACGGTGGTGATCCGCCACTAGGCGAGGTAGGTATTGTTTCTGCTCCTTGTCCTTGGTTAGCGATGCGTTGAAGGTCTGAATGAGGGAAACAGCTCTTTCTGCTGCTCCATTCACGACATTCAAAGAGCCTGCAGACTTCTTCATTTCGAAGAAAATTGTGTTCATCTCCCACGTTTTGGGGTCTTTATTAAAGAAGGAAGATTTTTCTTTCCCCTTCCTCTGCTCGGCAATGATGCTAAACATCTTCAGCGTCCTCTTGGTCAAGAACTCCTCCAGTCTGACTCCGTTCCCTGGGACATCATGCACGCGATGGGGGCACCCTAATTTCTTTTCTCACTTTAGGTTGGTCACCATCTTGCACTTTGTTACAATGTCCACTTTCTCGTCGGAGAACACCAGTCCAATCAGGTGCTTCGCCAGATACCAGAGATGGCGTGCAAAAGTGATGGGAGCAGGATTCGCAATCTCTTTGTTCGGATACGCTCGAAAGGTTTGGAGGAAGCCCAAGTCATTGCCAGTGGCTTGCATGCCATACGGAGCCTCGTTCCAGAACCGAACATATCATCAAGGCGATGAAAAGTGAGAGTAGGTTCTGCTTCAGGTGAATGAATTGTGACATGCGAAGTATGTCACCTTGCGTTGGAAGCCGGGCAGTTGAGAAAAACTCGAGGGGTCACCTTACTAACCACCATTCTGATGGACTTCATGTACTCGGTGCTGTGGATGCCATCTGCTGAAGTTTTGCGCAACCTTTAAATGTGTATGAAATAGTCCAAATTTTGGCACACATTACAGGCTCATAGACTGGAACAAAAATTACATTGTGGAGCGCACTTCCTTTGAAATTTTAAAATTAAAATGTATTTTTGTATATATATATATATATATATATATATATATATATATATATATATATATATATATATATATATATATATATATATATATATATATATATATATATTATTTACTCACGGAACAAGTGTTATTGCTCAATAACAACACTGCACTAGCCAAGGAGTCGAACCCATGCTGTTTTGGCCCGCCTCATGGTGAGAGAAAATGCATGATGCTTTAGACCACTAGATCACACAATCCTTAACAATGGTGCATCCAGCCAAGCTAGATGTTGTACTCACCATCGAAGGACATACGGTTGTGTGGACGCCTCTGAGCTAATTTGATTTTATTCCCTGTTTGTGTACTAGCTCAACAAGCAGTATATTATATTATTGTACCCATGAAACAACTGGTATTGATCAATAACAACACTGCACTAGCCAAGGAGTCCGTGGGTACAATAATATAATATACTGCTTGTTGAACTAGTACACAAACAGGGAGTAAAATGAAATTAGCTCAGAGGCGTCCACACCACCGTATGTCCTTCGATGGTGAGTACGACATCTAGCTGGATGCATCATTGATAAGGATTGTGTGGTCTAATGGTCTAAAGCGTCATGCGTTTTCTCTCACCATGAGGTGGGCCAAAACAGAGTGGGTTCGACTCCTATTTTATATATATATATATATATATATATATATATTATATATATATATATATATATATATATATATATATATATATATATATACATATATGTATATATATATATATATATATATATATATATATATATATATATATATATATATATATATATATATATATATATATATATATATATATATATATATATATATATATATGATGGTAGGATTGCTGGTGTCTTTTTTCTGTCTCATAAACATGCAAGATTTCAGGTACGTCTTGTTACTTCTACTTACACTTAGGTCACACTGCACATACATGTTCACGTTTATATATACACAATCATCTGAGTTTTCTTTGATTTTAGCTTAATAGTTCTTGTTCTTATTGCTTTTCGTTTTATATCCATGGGGAAGTGGAATAAGAATCTTTCCACCGTAAGCCATGTGTGTTGTAAAAGTCAACTAAAATGCCGGGATGTTTGAATGTGCGTGGATGTTGTGCGAATGATAAGAAAGAGA